TCTATCTTTCCCTCTTGCAATCTTTGTATCTTAAGTCGTTTTCAAAACATGAAACTAGACAGGGTATAGCTTAGGCTGCGATCTTATTTATCAGTCTAGGGTCCAGAATTGCCTCTATTTAGGCATAACAGAAAGCACGGCTATGGTGCATATGGAGAGGAATCGCCTCGATTTCCTTAGGTATTAAATCCCGCGCTAGGACATTTACAGCGACCCATTTGGAAGACCCTAGAGCAGATCCTCATTCCTCACGCAATGGACTTTTAAAGTGGCTTTTAAATTAAACAGAGAGTTGTGCTTGATCTTCAGTGCTCTTAAAGGTTCGCATTTGTGGATGCGTAGATTTGCTGTGATGCGCTGGTAAATTCGGCAAGAACGGCAGAAGGGCATGACGACTCGGCATAGACATAGTTCTCTCTCTGCATTCCTTCTATTCCACGAAGTTGCATTTGCAGCCTCTGCTAAAGTCGGAGAGACCCCCTTGTGAGCAATTTAAGTAGGTAGAGGTTGGATCTTGCTAGAAAGCGGCTATTCTGGTCTTAGCATTCCCCAAGGGCCGAAGCACAGCTCGGTCCTTCTCTCAGTATCTGCCTCTATCCATTATCTCTGTTGCCTGGGAGAGAACTAGTAAAGGAGTGGATTTGAGAGTGTGTGGCATCATCTGCTACACCGCAGCCTTTTTGTGCCCTGAGGTAGGACAGAAGGGGAAAAAGAGGCAATAGTGGGGAATGCCGTCTTTTCCTTAGCTGCTGCATCTTGGGACTCTAAGAGCATGCTAAGTCATCCTTCAAAGCCTTACATTTTATAGCTCTTTCTTTTTAAAGCCCATCATCCATGGTTATCACTGCATTCTTTTCACATACAAGCAACCTGGTGAGGAAGAACCTGAAGAGGGGCTGAACTGGGACAGAGTAGCACCACTGGAGGAACCCAAGTTTTGGGTCTTATACCTTGTTCTCTCCAGCTGGTCCCATCACTGGGGAGTGGGAGGGAGGTCAAGGCATGGAATGGGCCCCATGGAAACTCCTCAGGTTCTCATACAGGCTCCCCAAGTGTGGCAGAAGGAGACGGCAGAGCTGGGACAATGTCGGTGCCCACCCATTCAGGTAGACCTCCCTGTGGCTGAAGAAGGCTGGAGAGCGTGCGGGCCTGTGAGCCTCCCACTGGCCTAACCCTTCATAGGGAGCCCTCCCTATATGCAGTGGCTTTGGAGGATGAGATTACAATTCAGTGATATCCTCATACATTTATTTTGTGCTGTCTGGCTAAAGAAGAAGAAATCAAAATTTTAATTTGGGAACTTTTTATTATTAGAGTTATTAATTCTAATTATCTGTTGCGTAGTTCTCACTTACAGTAGCCGTCATAGCCATTGGAGTTAGCCAGAGAGTAACGTGTTGAAGGTTTGCCAAGGATTGGAACAGCTTCCCTTGTCTTCAGGCTCCTGAGCAGTGGGTGGTAGGGTGGAGGGCTCTGTGTTTCGGAGTCTGTTAGAGGCCCTTGAAATGCCTCGCTCTTTCTTCTGTAAGAATGTTCCCACTAACTTAGGTGACAGCTAAAAACACATCAAAGGATAGCAGCAGGGGTCCGGGGTGGCCTCTGTGAAATCACTGCTCAGAAACTTCACAGTTTCAGAAACTGCATTTTGTCAGTTCACCCAAGGACGGTCAGATACTGAGCGACTGATCCGGGGTTAGGAAAGAAATGATGAGATCCTGTTACTAGCAACCCCAGGGGCAAAGTGTTTCATTTTAATTTGGGGTACATCTTTCCAGTGATTGTGGTGGCCCGCAGCTCTGGTTTACATTCCCTGAGGCCTCTGCCCACCCTCTCAATGAGGATGCCAGGACCTGGGGCAATGAGCAGAGGAAGTTGACGGCTGAAATGGGACCTCAGGGCTGTTTGGCTCCCAAAGCAGGCCCAGTTATTTAGGAAATGCCCAGATACCCAGTAAGTGACCAACAATTGCCTGAGGGTGGAAGGGCGTCAAAGGAGCTGGGGGGTCCTTAGAGACTTCACCTGAATCTGGAATGATTGACTGCTCTGCCTCCTTATCCCAGCTGCTAGGTAGGTCACTGCTTTCTCTAGGTGTGGTAGGCGCATGTGTGCGTGTGCACGTGTCTGGTGTGTGTGTGTGTTTTCTTCTCTCCCTTCCTCTCTTTCTGTCTCCCTCTTCTTTCCCTCCTTCTCCCATCCCTCCCTTTCATCCTAGCTCCTCCTGCTGCTTCTCCTGCTTCCCCTCCTCCCCTTCCTCCTTCCCAACTTTTGTTTAAATTCTCATCATCCAGCCATTTTTTTCTTGTGGTTACAAAACCAATCACTCTTTTTTTTTTTTTCTTTTTTTTTCTTTTTTTTAGATTTTTTGTCATGGGGCACATGAGAGAGTCACAGGAGAGAGACAGAGAGAAGGAAAGTGAGAACTCACCCCAGGGCGATGGCCAACTGTCAATTCCTTTTCCTCTATTCTCACTTACGATTTTGGGCATGCACACATGCACATGTGCCTGGCATGTTTTTCAGGTTTCCAGGTTCAGAACTTGACCACAGAGTCAGCCATGTAGGATCCTGCGCCCTAACCTCTCCGCCACCTGCTGGCCCCCGATCGCAGTTTCTAAGAGTAAACTGTCTTTGGTTATTTCCTAAATTGATCCTGGACTCTGATCCCCTGGAAGAGATTTTTAGGAACTATGATACATAAACTTCTGATGCTGAGAAAGCCCTGACTTTACCAGCAGCTCAGGCTTACACACTCCGAGACCCCCTCCTGGAGAGAGTTCCATGACGACAAGTTTTGATCCACCAGTCTGACTTGCTGGAGTTTTCCCCTACAGACATCTTAATTCTGTGTTTAACAGCGAGGCATTTTAATTGGAATTTTAACGACACTGATAGATTTTCACTGAAGAGAACAGTTCTGGAGAGAATACTATTTAAGCCATTTAAGACCTTAATCAATTTTCTCTATTGCACAATTAAACTATTCCTATTGGTTTCCATTTCCATTTCAAGTTTGCTAAAACGAATTTTGTTGGAGTCATTTCTTCTCTACTTCTCTATTATTTCTACTAAGGCAGATTTTCCTATTGATCTAATTTTTTACCATGTGAAATTTGGGGGTTCTTCCGTTGTCTGGTTTTTTTTTTTTTTGCCTTAATTAGTTTCATTTTGTTTTAGTCATTTCTCTAGGTAATAGTCACCATGAAGTCGCTTTAAAATTTGATGGTTTCATGTATTTTGTTTGCCCGATGAGTTGTCGGCTGTGATCGATCTGTGACTAAATCTTCCGTACATTTTACTGTCATGCGTTCTGTAAACCAGCTGTCCATACCGTTGAATATACACCCCTCATCTTACACCCCCCAAAACAGGCAGGCTCGAAATAAAGATGTTTTGCCAGTTTTCTTTTCAGCAGATGAGATTTTCTAATCATTTCCCCTGATTCTTATTTACAATTCCCTACCCACTCCACGATCACCCCGGTTCATTCCTCCTGCAGTGATATGTCAGTATCCCATAAGCTGTCCCAGTCCCCAGCGTTCTGTTCAGCTTTGAATTACACCTGCCTGTGTGGGATTCCTTTCCGTCTCTACCATCTCCTCTCCCTGCTGCTTTCTGCCCTGTTCTTTTTTTAAACATGTATTTACTTATCTATTTATTTGTTGGGATTTTCAAGCTGCCAGGTCTGGGACTCAAACTGTGGTCAGCCATGTGGGAATCCGGCGCCTTAGCCACCACACCACCTGCTGGCCCCATCTGCCCTTATTAAGCCCAGGTCTGCGATTCCCTGCTGAGGGTGATTATGATGCCACTTCTTTAGCTTTTAGACTCTGTTCCACGCCACAGCTGAGGCGCTTGCCTGGCGTTGATGCAATTAAACATTCGCTGAGCGTTTCCTGTGTCTCCATGTAATCGGCTTATTGGGCCGTGAGGAACAGGCGGGATAGTAGCGAGGGCCATTTTCCTTTAAGCGTTTCCCTGTGCAGGAACGGTGGGGCGCACGGCGCAGGTACGATCTCGTTTAGTGCTGGCGGCAGCCAGTCTGTGGTGTTGAGGTTTTGCTTATGAAGAAGCCAGGGCTCAGACATGAAGCTGCCTCACCAAAGACCGTTTGGCCAGAGCTGGGAGTCCCGAGCAGTCCACCTGCCCTCACACCCTGTGCCCTAGCCACCTGCCCAGGGCCAGGCCCTAAGAGGGAGACTCCTTTGGAGCTCTTCCTTTCCCCAAGGACTGAATTCTCTCTCCTCAAAACTGTCACTACACAGCCCACTCCCCCCCACACCCTGTGCTGGCCGCTGGGCTGACTCTCCCTCTCACCTCCATAGGCTCAGAACAGAAAGTCGCATCCCATGTGCCACAGCTGAGGGCCTGTGTCTGAAGTCCTGGGCCCACGTGGGTGGAGAAGGAAGCACTGCAGACAATTCCATACAGCCTAACCCCCTCTTGGGAGCTGTCAGAGATGCAGGGGTCTTCCGTGTGGTGGGCAGCTTGCTAACGTT